ACCAGTATGAACGTCCTGGCACTCTTTCGTCAGTGACGTCGGCCCTACAAACACCTGACGTCACGACTGTAAAAGACCTGACGGAGCTCGTGCGCAGTATTGTGCGCGATGATCTGCAAAAGCTGCACGTGGTGTCTTCTCCGCCCCATGTTGCTGCTTTAACGGATGTCGTTCGTGAAGAGGTCCGGCAGCTGGTGCACCCCATGACTCTGCGTGCAGCCGAAGTCCAACCCATGACGGCCCCGCGTCCAGCCAAAGCTCCGCTATTAACGTACGCGGAAGCACTGCGTACTCCTGCACCGGCTATTGGCTATCCATCCCGTCCGTCCACCCTGGAGACGGCACCGTCGTTCTACTCGGGACCACCGCAGTACGGCAACCCACCCCTTACACGCAAATCCAGTGTATGGCGTGCTCCCGACAACCAGCCTCTATGTTATCACTGTGGTGAACCAGGTCACATCTACCGTGAGTGCGCCTACAGGCACATGGGTCTTCCCGGCTTTCGTCCGGATGCTCGTCGACCCAGAGATGGTGAGCGGCCCCGTGCTATCGCCGAATACTTGGCAAGCCAACGATCCTCAAACCTTCCGCGTCACCAATCCCGCTCACCATCTCCACGGCGTTCCACGTCACCTGGCCAACAATCAACCTTTGCGGACGTCCTTGCAGGAAGATCACCTAGATCCACAAGCCCGCGCCGGGGTAACTAAGAACAGCGACCTCTGGGGGTGAGGCCGCTGTTGATCGACCGTTACAAGACCCTCCCCCGATTCGCCTGCCGACATCCGACGACATTCTTTCACCGACGTGTGCCATCGACGACAAACAGGTCTCTGCTCGTATCTCTGTTCTTCTCGACAACCACCCGCTGACCGCTTTGGTAGATACGGGTGCTGATTATTCTGTTATAAGCGCTGACCTCGCTGCACAGCTAAGAAAGGTAACGACTCCTTGGGGACATGGAACCAACCTCCGGACTGCGGGAGGTCACCTATTGACACCGCTAAGAATGTGCACTGCACGCCTCCGAATTCGTGAGTCGACGTACATTGTTTCCTTCGTTGTATTGCGCGAATGCTCCCAAAACCTGATTCTCGGAATGGATTTTCTCTGCGAGCATGGAGCCATTATTAACCTTCGCGACCTGCTCAAAACGTTATTTAACGACCATACAGCCCTACGAAAGGATGCAGTTGCGCCGACCACAACACTTCGAATTGCTGACGACACCATCGCACTGCCACCGCGAGCCAGTATGTTGGTAACGGTGGAGAGCGACTGTGACTCCAAGAGTAGTGGCATCGCGGAAACTAACCTCTCGGTGCTCTTGGCTCGGCAGATTTGTGTCACGCGTGCTATCGTCAAACTGAAACATCGGAGGACTCAGCTTCTGATCACGAATTTTGGCGGCCAGTACCAACACTTAGCAAAGCGAACAGAAATCGCGAACTTTGAAGCCATCGATGACGCAGAATGTTCCACTATCGCTCCGATTGCCACTGCTGCCGAAGGTAACACTGATATAGCCAGTACGGTTGACGTGAATTGCCAGCTATCCTGTGTGCAGCAGCAGCAGATACGCATGATTTTACGTACGTATAGTGATTGCTTTGCGTCCACCTCCAAAATCAAGCAGACCCCAACCGTGAAGCACCGCATTATAACGGACCCTACCGAACGGCCTGTACGACAGCACGCCTACCGCGTGTCGCAAAAAGAACAAGAGGCAATACGTTTTCAAGTGAAACAGATGCTCGACGACGACGTCATCTAACCCTCGAACAGTCCATGGGCGTCACCCGTCGTACTTGTTAAAAAGAAAGACGGCACTCTTCGATTTTGCGTCGATTACCGGAAGCTCAACAAAGTGACGAAGAGAGACGTCTACCCTCTCCCAGGCATAGATGATTCACTGGATCGACTTCGACATGCCCGATATTTTTCCTCATTGGATTTACGCAGCGGCTACTGGCAGATCGAGGTCGATGAACGTGACAGGGAAAAAACAGCATTCATAACTCCCGATGGCCTCTACGAATTCAAAGTGTTACCATTTGGATTGTGCTCTGCACCGGCAACGTTCCGAAGGATGATGGACACCGTCCTGTGCGGTCTGAAGTGGGAATCCTGCCTCGTGTATTTAGACGACGTCGTTGTTTTTTCCAAAACATTTGAGCAACGTTTACAACGACTTCAGTCCGTCTTCGGCGCTATTCGATCCGCAGGCCTATCTCTAAAACCGGAGAAGTGTCATTTCGGCTACAAAGAACTAAAGTTCCTCGGCCACCTTATCAGTCACGATGGCATTAGACCAGACCCAGAAAAGACCATGGCTGTTGCTGCATTTCCTCCACCTTCGAACAAACGGGATTTGCGCCGGTTTTTGGGTCTCTGCGCCTACTACAGGCGCTTTGTCCAGAGCTTTGCCAACATCGCTGAACCCCTTACCCGTTTAATGAAGGAGGATACTCCTTTTGTGTGGGGTCCAGAGCAGAGAGCCGCTTTTTCCCAGCTTCAGCAATGCCTTCAGAGTGAACCCTTACTAGGGCACTTTGAAGAAGATGCCACCACCGAACTTCACACTGACGCAAGCAACATCGGTCTTGGTGCAGTACTCGTCCAGTGGCAAGACGGCGCTGAACATCCCATCGCTTATGCTAGCCGCATTTTGTCATCTGCGGAAACTAACTACTCGACCACGGAGAAGGAATGTCTTGCTGTTATTTGGGCGATAACAAAGTTCCGACCGTATCTGTATGGCCGTCCATTCAGAGTAGTTACGGACCATCATGCCCTCTGTTGGCTGGCCAATCTCAAGGACCCTTCAGGGCGCCTCGTGAGGTGGAGCTTACGCCTTCAAAAATTTGAAGTTACAGTCGTCTACAAGTCGGGCGGCAGGCACACTGATGCTGATTGCCTTTCGCGCGCACCCCTCACGACGACATCGAGGGACGATGATACCGATGGCCATTTTCTTTGTGCAGTCATTGAATCCGGCTTGGCCCAACAACAGTGGAATGATTCAGAGATCCAACAACTTATCAAAGACCTTCAAGGTCGCAGCTCGAGTCCACCATCGGCATTTGCACGTTCAGGGTCATTTTGTCTCCGCAACGACATCGTCTACAAAAAGAACTTCGAACCTTATGCGACTGAGTACCTCCTCGTCGTTCCACCAGGGTTACGTGCTGACATTTTATCTGCCTGCCACGACGAGCCTTCCTCCGGCCACCTAGGATTCGCACGTACCCTTGCCCGGATTCGGACTCGCTACTACTGGCCAAAGCTCACCCAGGATGTCAAGCATTACGTTAAAACTTGCAATCATTGCCAGCGCCGTAAAGCCCCACCTGTGCGCCCTGCTGGTTTATTACAGCCTGTTGCACCCCCGTCACAACCGTTTGAACGAATCGGCATGGACTTGCTTGGGCCCTTTCCGAAGTCACATGATGGCAACCGCTGGATCGTAGTTGCTACTGACTATTTAACGAGGTACTGCGAAACGAAAGCCCTACAACGAGGCACCGCCAATGAGGTTGCGTATTTTTTTATCAACAACATCGTCCTCCGCCATGGAGCGCCAACAGTTCTTATCACTGACCGTGGAACAGCCTTTACAGCCCAATTGATGCAAGATGTCACGAGACTTAGTGGAACAGCTCATCGCAAAACAACCGCATACCATCCACAAACCAACGGTCTGACAGAGAGATTAAACAAGACGCTCGCTGACATGCTATCTATGTACGTCGACCGTAATCACAAGAACTAGGATGCAATTTTGCCATACGTAACGTTCGCTTACAACACTGCGGTTCAAGAGACTACGGGCTTTGCTCCATTCCGGTTGCTTCACGGCCGAGAAGCAATTACGGTGCTTGATGCCATGCTGTTGCCTGACACGACCGATATTACTACTGATGCGAACGACTTTCTCCGGCTCGCCGACGCGGCCCGCCAGCTTGCACTCAAGCGGATCCGAAATCAACAACGAATCGACTCGCAGAGGTACAACTCCCGTCATCGCCATGTCATTTACCAACCCGGTGATCTGGTCTGGCTGTGGATCCCCGTTCGCAAAAGGGGCCACTCGGAAAAGTTACTTCACCGCTACTTCGGTCCCTATAGAGTACTACGGCGCCTCACAGATGTCAACTACGAAATTCTGCTTGAAGACACAGCTCCGCGATCTCGATGTTCCCAGCAGCCCGACATTGTTCATGTGTCACGGATGAAGCCACACTACCCCCGAGCCACCTGACACTGCTTCTTCACGCGTCTTTGTGCGTGTACGCGACTACTTTAACTGTTAATCGGCATTGGTCATCGGGGTGGTACTTTTTTTTTCGAAGGGGGGGTAATGCCACAGGAATGGAACGAGGTTTAGCCATGCCAATGCGAGTATGTGCCATGGTGTGAAAGAAGAAGAGGACGGTTGGTGTGTGCTCGTGCTCTAACGTTCGGTTCGGCTCGACGTCCAGTGCTGCTCCTGTGAACAGACATTGTGGTCGTTCTGTGATCACGTGACAATATCACCCTCCCATGCTAATTCTGGCCTGTTTCCAATGAGGCAGACAATCGCGAGAGCACCCAGACAATAGTGGATAGGTAGATAGATAGATAAATAGATAGATAGATAGATAGATAGATAGATAGATAGATAGATAGGGAGGTGTTAGAGATAGGAAAAGCAGGAAGGTCAACCAGATGAGTGGCCGGTGTGCTACCATGCACTGGAGAAAGGGGATTGAAGGAGGAAATGATAGAATAAGAAGAAGTAAAAAATACATGTGAGCCTAAACTAGACTGCTGCTTCTGATAGTCGTGGAGACATGACATTTAAAAATGCTTGTAGTTCATCAAGCATACTTAGCATCTAAAAGTGCTTTTCGAACAAGGTCATCTGACTACTACAAATTTAGGAAAACTTAAAATATAGTTAGATAACACTATGGCCAAGTACATTCAAGTCATGAAATGTAATAAAAAACACATACGTGTCCCAGAACTGTGCTGGTGTCTGAAAAATATGAAAAAAGCATAGCAAACCATCACTATTACAGTGATCCCAGTAAATGGCATTTACAATAAAACACAGTTTACTAATCCTAGGCAACATTATTTTATGGCATGTGGCATGACATTATGGATATAACTGGTTGAACGTAACATGCATTAATTGCACTTTCACGGATGTGCATCATTTTTTTTCACATCACTATTTCACATCACAAAAGCGTGAACCTGTAAACTGATTGTGTACAAAAATTATTGCAGTCGGCACTGTTGCGCTAGGTTATCTTCATATTTTAAATAACACCCATTTTAGTCTTTTTTGCTAATCTTTGAATAGAATGCTGTAGATAAAAAGAAAACGCTGCACAAGCGTTTTAGTCGGGGGCCATGCTATAATAAAACAAGTTCAGCACTCGTCCTAACAGCACGACCCCCGTGATTGCGAAAATTGAACTGGCGAGTTCTGACACCTACCAGCAATTGTGGAAAAGTAGGTTTAAAACTAAGGCTCCCGCTAGTAACTTACAAAATTGTTTGCAAAATTTGTTACCCTGCCTGCGCAGGTGAATTATGACATTATTAATTGGCCTTCATTATTGTCCCCCAACGAGTGCAGGACAATCATGCATATCGAAATACTAGTCATTAGATAGTTCGTACTTCAACTTGCAGTCCAAAGTAGAAATAAAACAGAATAAAGTATGGCAGATTTCTCCGCCAAAAGAATCCCTAGTCGAAAAATCCACCAGGCCGTGTCTAGTGTGTTTTTCCCGTTCACACCAGAGCGGGAATTAAGACACAGTTTCTGGCGTATACGGCCGGTCTGGTGTATACGGCCGTTTTTGGTGTGACAGACTGGTGTGTTTTGCCAAGACCCGGGCTGGTGTGTTTTGAGAAAACCCGGACTGGTGTGGTTCGGTAAGAACCAGGCTGGTGTGTTTTTACATGGCGGGTTCTCGTGTATTTCTTCTCGTTACGTAAATACATGCATTGTGGATATAAACGTGCACCTTTACGTGCGCATAGGCAGAAACAGCAGGCTTGTACAGTAGTGTAGGACTGAAAAAGACTTCTTTGTTTATTTTTTCCACTTTTTTCGTCTCAGCTTTAACTTTGAGTTGCTCTGCGTTGCTTCCTTTTCCACAAGGCTTCAGGCGGCACTGCAGGGCATGGAAAAGACGAACAATTCATCACAACATTGCCCAATTTGATAAGTGAACTTAAATAGGTTTGTTGCAAATTTTTGCTGTTACTTTCAGAAAAAAAGTTAACAGTGTGCCATTATTCAAAGCTTCAAACATTTTTCGTGTAGCACTTGCTAGTCGATTATGTTACACTGAAAGTTTCACTATTGCAACTTCCCAAAGACAACAGTCAATGCTCAATTGAATGCGGCCCCTTGAGATTTTTTTAATTGCTTTTTTCTCACTACAAAACTACTATGCGGAAAAGCTGCCTTCCGAGCTATGGTAGCAAATGTATTGATTTCAGAAAACGCTGGTTCTAACATAAAGATGCACTGTGCCATTAAAATTAAATTCACCCCTTCATTTTTGTTTATATGTTTCATCGCTTCATGGACTACGCTGTGGGCATAATCAGATTGACCCACGAAAGCGCTGGTTCAGACCTGCATGGCAGGGGTGGAAGCTTTATTTATATTTCAAACCAAAAGGTCCGAAAAAAATTGTACATACCTTTTCACTATCTGAATTTCAGTGGTTTTTATACACAGGCATCTGCGCGGCAGATCAGCAGCTCAAAATTCGAAAGGAGCACGCCCTTGTCAACCAAAAAAAAAAGGGCCTCCACAGAAGTTGTTGGGGAGGGGGAGAGGAGTAACTCTTTACGTGTAAACTGCTGTCGACACCCCATTGGTTGCACCAAATATGATAAATAAACACAATCCGGTCTGAAATACCTCATCTTTGACAAAACAAGGGAGCACCTTTCCTCCAGATCTTCACCAACCAAGCCGAAAAGATTATGCCAAATTTCTATTCTGTATTAACGTGCTTAGGAATCTTTTGCAGCTTTTCTTCACTTTGAAATATTAAAAATATTCAACAAATGTTCAAAAATATTTGATTCACACTCACACTCTATTATTGGAATTTGTTTCGCACACAAGTTTTTGCTAATCGCACAGCTCCAGAAAAATAAAGAACACAAATTCATTTCTGTTCATTTTGAGATGCCTATCGCTGGAACTACAGCAGTTGATTATCAGCTCTCTAAGGAAGCACTAGCAGTAGATATGCATTTGTAAAGAAGTTTATATGCTTTTCATACAGCCTAACCAAATGAGGAACTCTTTTTCAAAAGTAGGACTATCGTTCAAACAAACCGTGCCCAAGCGAACACTCACACATCATGAGACAGTAATGGCTGGAATGTCAGTACAATCATAGATTCCACGTGAGGCTTTCTTCTGCAGATCACTACAGACAATGAAGGACGAGCAGCAGGTAGATGCTAACTATGTTTCAACAATACCAAGTTATTTCTGTATGCAATTATTGACAAAACAAAGTAGAGATGCCTTTGCGCATTTCCCCCATCAGACACGTACAGCCGTCAGCAGCTTTAACCTGAACGCTCTGATGCGTGGCCTCGGCTCGCTTGAACAGATATCAGCGCCACCAAGCGTTCAACATGGTATACTTGCTGTAGTTAACAACAGATTTAGCGCACGTTGTTTTCACTAGTAAATTTCTGTTTCCAGTTTGCCCGACCGACGGGTCGAGTGCACTCATTTCGCATCCCGCATCTATTCTGTACGGTTCATGCTGCACGGAAGATGTTGTATGGAGTGCAATGTTTGTGCGTGTTTTCAGCAAGACAAACGCATAAATACAACGCAAACAAAGCAATTTTTGTGCGTAGTTATCACATAAAAGCCTAAACTTACATCTTAAGATTAAATCGTAGTAGGCACGCTAAAGCCCAGGTAGTGTTGGCCACTCAAATGTTGTGCCCCAAGACCGCATCTTTCGTGCAGTGCAAATGGAGCAGGAAGGCACGCTCTGAATTGCGAGAGCTGTTCGATTCATGCTGTCTAAAAATTACTGAATCAGAACATCAACAATGCTATTGAATTGCAGATTTATTGTGCATCTTTTACAAACGCCTTTAGCGTGCGTTGGCTCTGGTTCTTATACGTATATTTACTTCTGACCAGCAGCTGCCAATTCCAATTAAAACACGACAGATGCTAAGCTATCCCACGCAATGGTTCCTTATCGAGAAAGAAATGAGAAAAAGAATGCCATGGGTGCCCATGGGGGCACGCGATAACGTAGCCACGAGCGACACGTGGCGAAAACGTGATGCGAAGTAATGCGAAGGGAACGCAGTCGGCCCGCCGGCCAGGCAGTCTGGAACCAGAAATTTACTAGTGAAACAGATGCGTGCTACGTCTATTCCTAACAGCAGCAAGCATTCTCATATTCAACGCTTGGTGGCGCTGACCTCAGTCCAAGCAAGCGAAGGCCATGCGCCGAAGCATTCAAGTTAAAGGTGGTGACGGCTGTACAGCAGCAGCTTCACTCCACCACATGGGACCTGCTTCGACTGATGCTAACGCTGCCATGTGTAGAACACGGTTTATTTACTGCAACAAATAATAGTTGAAGTGCGGGTCGATTTCTTCAGTAAACTTCCAGTTCACTTGTACCTAACTGGCTGGTCCAAAACGCACTTGGCAGGTCCGTATTTGCCATATTTTACTTGTGAATATTTTTACGCAAGCCCATGACATTCGTTGGAAACGCATATCTCAGCAATGACCCAATGTGTGGGACAACTCACGCACTTTTGTAGTGTGAAATTGCAGCTGCTGTCAAAAGAAGTCTTGAAAAAACAGAGAAAACTCACATTCATTGCGGTTGTAAATATTCCACAATAAATAAATCTGAAATGTGCTGTGCAAGCAGTTGATCTTCTATACGAATATATTACTTCGTTCAAGCAGCAACTGCAATTTCAAAATTGAATGGTGTGTTAGCTGTCACACATATTGGTTTATTGCAGAAACAAGCATATGGCAACGAATTTTATGGGGGTGCGTGAAACATAGCCATGAGCGAAAAATGGCAAAAATGGACTTGCCAAGTGTGTGCAATAAACCCACCGGCCGGAAGACGTGAAACAAAAATTTGCTATTCGAAACAACCCTTGCTCTATCTATACTATGAGGTGAGGCAAACATGCAGAACCCAACACTTGGCACCAAATGGAAGTCCTTGGAACTCTCATAAGCCGACTCAAGGTGGCCCTTGAGGGCATCAAAGCAATAGCTAGGTGAAGCTGCGTGCACACAAACCGAAAATAATTTCATAATAGAACAGCAAACCAGCACTGATTACTTGATCTTAATGACTGAAGCGATGTGCTGAGTTACCCCGCCGTGGTGATCCCGGCTGCAGCTGCCGCAGCCGGGATCGAATCCCGGCTGCGGCGGCTGCATTTCCGATGGAGGCAGAAACATTGTAGGCCCGTGTGCTCAGATTTGGGTGCACGTTAAAAACTTCAGGTTGTCTAAATTTCCGGAGCCCTCCACTACGGCGTCCTTCACAATCATATGGGGGTTTTGGGACGTTAAACCCCACATATCGATCGATGTGCTGAGCTTTATAAGCTCTGAATTACACTCTGAGCTGAAACACATGCAGTATAATCACACTGATTTATTTTTTAGAAAACACTAAAAAATAAACTTACGAGCTGTAACGCAGGCCAAACAAAAAATGCTGTGCTGAACTACACAAAATTTAGTTTCAATTTACGCACTTGAAAACAAAATTGCAACGTTTCCTGGAGATTTTACTTATATGAGATAAGCAGCAACAACCTCTAGAGCACCTGTATTGTCACATCCACCTAATGAATATAGTGCCACTATGGCCAAGACTTGGCAAAAAAAGCCTCACTTATAGCGATAACGGTCCCAGGTAAGCCAGTGTCAATGAGCGATAACACAGCCCTGTAGGCAAGCAGGACGAG